TTCCCTCGTAGAGAACGAGGGGGTGTAGTAACGTGTAAGAAAACCCGAGGGAGCCGCCGGACACGGGAGAGTGGTGGTGCTACGAGCAACTACACGTCCCACAGAGGGGTCAGCTAAGGCGACAGTGACTAGAGTGCGCAGTGGTGTGAGATCAGTACAGTCGCGAAAGAAACAGCTCGACGCTCTAGAGTCTAGGGTGAAGGAAAGCTGTGCAGTCTGTGGGGTCGCACCCAAACCAGCTACAAAGGATAGTGCTAGACTAGTGGTAGCTGCAGCTCCTACACCAAAGACCCTCAAAGGCGCCTGGACTGGAAGCAACACACGCACCAAGAATGGAAACACAGGTCTCTACTCGTGCAGCCGGGAACGGTCCTAGACCAGGTAGGTGAGACTCAACTAGTGCAGCAGTGCGCTAGCGAAGTCGCGAGGGCCAGTGCGGTGTAATAGCGTGAGGACCAAAACGCTCACGGTGAAGGTCATCGAGTCGCCGGTAGCAGCTGGATGCAGAGTGATCAGGACTTTAGCAGGTAGTGCCAGCACCAGGGTCTGTCAGGGCCCGGTACCCGTAGGGGCCGACGTCTTGCCCACTGCTAGCTGAGCCACTGCTGAGGGCTCCACATTTTGGACCCGCAGGTCCCCACTGCCGGGAGTGCTGCGGCTGGCCCTGCTGCTGTAGGACTCAAGTACAAGCCATGTGAGTAGCTAGAAACGGGGGTGGTGTCGGCATGTGGGCCTAAACTGCTGTTGGTGGTAGGCTATCCTGCTGCTGGTTCCGCTGGGGGTAGCCTAAGCTACTGCTGGTGCACTAGCGGTAGTCTAAGTTGCTGCTCGAGCGCTGGGGCAGCCTAAACTGCTGCTACTGGTGCTGCTGGTACAGGTGGGGCACCGGGTGCGGTTCTATGCGGTTACGTGCAGTTCAGTGCGGTTCTGCGGGGTGGAGAGTAACGGGAGGGGCGGCTAATTCCGGGTGAGGTGATTGGAACTGGTGGGGCAGCAGCTCTGACTGGTACAGGTGGGGCAGCGGGTGCAGTTCTGTGCGGTTATGTGCAGTTCAATGCGGTTCTACGGGGTGGAGAGTACCGGGTGGGGCGGCTGATTCCGGGTGAGGTGACTGGAACGGGTGGGGCAGCAGCTCTGGCTGGAACGGATGGGGCAACAGGTGCGGTTCTATGCGGTTCTGTGCAGTGGGGAGTACCGGGTGGGGCGGTGTAAGTTGCTGGCTTTGCTAGGGGGTAGTTCAAGTTGCTGCTGGTGTGACTGGCGGCAGTCTAAAGTGCTGGTGGTGCTCCTGGCGGTAGACTAGGCTGCTGGCGACGGGTGGGGAAGGTAAGGCGGCGGTTTTGTGCGGTTCTGTACGGTTCTGTGCGGTTCTGCGTGATTCTGCATGGTTCCGTGCGGTTCTGTGCGGTTTTGCACGGTTTTGTGCGGTTTTGTGCAGGGGAGGGTACTGGGTGAGGTGACTGGAACGGGTGAGGTTGCAGATATGGCTGGGGCGGCGGGCTACAGGTGAGGCAGTGGGAACGGGTGAGGGCGGCAGAACTGGTAGGGGCGGCCTGTTAAAGGTGGGGCGGCAGAGCTGGGAAGGGGCGGCTATTCTGGCTATGGCGGCTTGCTAAGGCAGTGCGGACGGGTGGGACGTCGAGCTACGGGGAAGGCTGTAAGGCGGGTTGCAGGTGGCGCAGCGCGCAGGCCACACGGGCTGCTGTGCGAGCGGACGGGCGAGCAGTTGCGCGTGCTGCTGTGTGTGCCGTCGCACGCGGCTGCGCGCGCGACCGTTCGTACGGGTGCGTGCGACTACGCGAGCGGATGTATGGGCAGCGCGACAGGGGGGAAAGGTAGGGCGCGACGGGGCAAAACGGGCAGGTCGCGACGAGGGGGGGGGGAGAGTAACGACGCGACGGATCTGACGGGTGAGGCGACGGGAAAACGGGTGGCGTGCGGGGTACGGGGCACTACGAGACACGGATTGATGGGGCGCTACAGGCTAAGGCGCTTCGGGCTAGGGCGCTTCGGGCTAGGGCACGTTACGGGGCGGTGGGCCCATGGGATCTTTCTATCGCTCTATACCATGTCGAGTTACAGAAGTACAAGTGTTTACTAAGGAAAGTGAAAACAAGCAAGATATAGCAAGCATAACCCTAACCCTAGGAAAATATGAAGTACACCTAGACTAACACAAATAAGCTATAACAAATATAGCTTGACAGCGCTCAGCAACCCCATTTCGCTGCGGTGAGCCTGGGAGCGTGAACAACTGCTCGATGCCCTCCCCCTGACAGAAGGCCCGCAAGAGGTCGGAGGTGAACTCACCATCTCTGTCAGAGTGCAGACGCAGGACAGGCAGGTCTTGGCAGAACCTGCGGCGGAGCTGGAGACTAACTGCTCGGATCCAAGGGATCAGGACAACAGGGACCTCACCCTTGGTGCGCAAGGGGAAGACCGTGGCGTAACGTGAGTAGTCGTCGACAACCAGTAGAAAGTCCCGCTCACCGCCCTGACCACGAACGCGGGCTGGGCCCCACACGTCCAGGTGGACGGTATGCAGAGGAGCTTCTGTCGGGGGAAACGAGGAGGAGTGAGGAGCGGCGCGCTGCCGCCCCTCGATGCAAGGAAGGCAGGGTGGCGCAGGCAAGGCAGGAAGGGGAGGGAGAGGCCTGGGAAGACCAGACACAAGGAGGCAACGGTGCATGGCACGGAGACGTGGCATGGAGGAGTAACCCAGGCGGTGGTGCCAGAGAAGATTCTTGTGCGACAGGGAGCGACACGAACAAGGGAAGGCTACCTGACCTGACGCAGACACCTGACCAGTAGCAGCTACCCGAGGGAACGCAGTAGTCGGTGTGTAAAGACTTGACCCTGGCCGACGGGTGAACGTGGCCAGGTGACGGCCAGTCTGGGAGCACGTACAGATCGCCACACGCTGTCCTCGAGGGATAAAGGTATCAACCCATGCATCCTGGAGGACTGCGTTGCTCACCAGGTTCATAGAGAACGAGGGGAGGTGAAGACCCGACAGTGAGCCTGACGGAACCGCTGGGCACGGAAGCACAGTAGAGGACCGTGCAAGAACTGTGCCCCCTGAGGGGTCAGCCAGAGACACTGCAATAGGTGCAGGGAGTGGCGTGAGTGCGGTATTGTCGTGAAAGAAACAGCGGGAAGCAGCTGAATCAAGCGTGAAGGTGTGCAAGGCCTCAGCAGGCATAGTAACTAAGAGAGCAGACTCGCTAGCACAAGGCAGCAGCCTCACTAGCACCTAGAGCGGCAACCTCTATACCAGGATCGTACTGCACACACAGGTAACAGTCACCCTCAGCACCACCAGGCAAAGCATACATATCAGTAAGGATGGCGTCATAGTCCAAAACAAAGACATCAACGCCCGACTTAAGCAGCTCAAGCCAGAGGGGGATCTCAGCCTCGTCGCCAAACTCCGCGTGCTAGACGTCACTCAAAAAGGCGAAACAACGGGACTCTGCGTAACCAGGTGTCCCACAGATCTGACCAACTCGACGACCTGTGCAAATGACGTACGGGCAGCGACCAGGACTCGGAGACGTCCCACGATGGTAAAACCACTCACGAAGTTGTTGTGACGTAAGGGTCGGAAGCCACCGTAGCTGCATCTAGCCACCGCCAGAAACTCCGCACCAAACAACGTCACTGTGACTGCTACTACGGCCGCCACCACTCCCACTCTTGCCACCACTGCCGTCACCATTCGCACCACTGCTACAGAGTGAAGTCATGGCGGGCAAGCTAGGATGAGCGCGACCTCTAGGGTAGTACGGAGTGAAGGCAGTAGCACGAGGAGTAGCAGCAGCAGTAAGAGCAGCAGAGCGGCTCGGTGAAGCTAGGCTGCATCACCTCCAGCACTCCTAGCAGCACCTCCACCAGCAGCAGCAGTAGCACGAGCAGCAGGGTGGATCGGGTCGGGTAGGGCGGCTCGGCTCGGCCTGGGCGGTGCGGGCAGCAGGGCGCGCGCTGTGCAGGGCAGCAGGGCACGACGCGCGTGCTGCAGCAGGGCGCGACGCGCAGGGCAGCAGGGCGCGACGCACGGGCTGCAGCAGAGCGCGACGCGCGGGGCAGCAGCGCGCGACTCGCGGGCTGCCGTAGGGCGCGACGCGCGGGGCAGCAGCGCGCGACGGGCGGGCTACCATAGGGCGCGACGCGCGGGGCAGCAGAGCACGACGCACGGGGTAGCAGAGCGCGACGCGCGGGGCAGCAGAGCACGACGCACGGGGCAGCAGAGCGCGACGTGCGGGCTGCCGTAGAGCGCGACGCGCGGGGCAGCAGAGCGCGACGCGCAGGCTGCCGTAGGGCGCAACGCGCAGGGCAGCAGGGCGCGACGTGCAGCTGCAGCAGGGCGTGGGCTGCAGCAGGACGCAGGGCAGGGCGCTGGCGCAGGGCAGGGCGCTGGCGCAAGGCAGGGCAGGGCGCTGGCGTAGGGCAGGGCAGGGCAGGGCGCAGGCGCAGGGCAGGGCGCTGGTGCAGGGCAGGGCAGGGCGCTGGCGCAGGGCAGGGCGCTGGCGCAGGGCAGGGCAGGGCGCTGGCGCAGGGCAGGGCAGGGCGCTGGCGCAGGGCAGGGCAGGGCGCTGGCACAGGGCAGGGCGCTGGCGCAGGGCACGGCAGGGCGCTGGCGCAGGGCACGGCAGGGCGCTGGCGCAGGGCAGGGCGCTGGCGCAGGGCAGGGCGCCAGTGCGCGCAGGGCAGGGCAGGGCAGGGCGCGCGCTGACAGCGCAACGCAGGGCAGGGCGTGGGGTAACACGGTAACCGTAGTCGATCACTAGGTAATGGTGGGCCCGAAAAAAAAAACGGTCCTACGGACCTACTGCTCTGAAACCATGTCAGAATCAACCAGCACATATATGGTTTGACAATAGGCCCTGCTGATGCACTAAAACCTACCGCATCAGAGGGCCTGGTCTGGTCTCCATTCTATCAACAGTATTGCATCAAATTGGATAGAAACATGGCAATGCACTATTGAATACAGGCGGTCATTATCTATCAAGATCCTCCAACCCCTCCCCTGAATCCACAAGTGCGTCAACTTCCTCTCCACCACCCGGTGCTTGAGGTGCATCCATGCCCTCTTCAAAGTGCACTGCTGCAGAGTCCAGGGCACCTTCCTCCAGTAGCTGTGAGCGCATGGCATGGCGCCGTCGGTGCTGGTGGCGCCAGAGAAGCAAGAGTGGCACCATGAGGCCGAGGAATACCAGTGCCCCAGCCCCGCCTATGGCCCCTGCCACCACACCCGTGCGACTGGAACGAGAAGGAGCAGATTCAGGGGCGGCTTGCGACCCTGTGGTCTTCTGCTGTGCTTGAAGCTCTGCACCCATGTCAGTTTTGGATTATGTTGGACGGGAGAGAGCAAAAGCGGGGTGGGGGGGGGTAGCGGGTGGTTTGCAAGAGAGCACGACTAACAGCGGGGTAGCGACACCGAGAGGCAGAGAGTGGGAGAGAGTGAGAGGAGGTACACTCCGCGAATAACAACTGCGAGATCAAGGGGGGAATAAGGGGAGAGGGAACTATCTGAGACAAGTTAACCTGAGACGGCTTTTACCCTGGACGCGGCTTACCGGAGACGACGTTTTCACGGGGGACGTTGGCGCGCACGACTTCAATGACCTCGATGCTGCTGATGAGGGGGCTGAGCCTGCTGCCGTTGCACGCCACCAGCCGCACCTCCAGCGTGGGCGCCGACCCAATGGCGGGCCGGCTGAAGCCGACGACGACAGGCAGCGTGACGAGGCGGTTGTGCTGCCCGTGGGCCTCACGCAGGATGTCAAAGCTGCTCACACTCACGCCGTTCACGTGGATGTCAAACACACGCTCGCCCACGCGCGACCCCGGCTGCACCGCCGCGAAATGCAGCAGCACCACCCAGCGGTTGAGGCGCGCCGGCACGCGGAATGAAAACGAGTAGTGCAGCCCGCTCGCCAGCACCGCCTCGCGCGCCGTCTGCAGCAGCGCCTGCGCCAGGAACAGCGGCGCCTCGCCCGCCCCGCTGACAGGCAAGGCAGTGTGAAGAGACTTTGGGGGCGCCACTGCAAATCGGGTTGCAACCCCCATGGGTTGGTCCAGGCCATTGGGAGCGATCTGTGAGAGGTCACTCACCCAGCGCCTGCCCACAGCATCCATGAGGCCGCGCCCGTCTGGTGCCATCGCGAGCATGGAAGCCGCGAGCGACTGTTTGAAGAGGTCAAACCCCCTCGCCGTGCCATTGCTCACACCACCCCACACGTCCCCACTCACTCTCCCCTTCGTCGTCGAAGGCGACAAGGCCGTCCCCACGCCCTCAGTCAATGATTGGCTAGGTGGTTCAGTGTTGCCTGAGTCGTTGGCGGCGGCGCGGCCACAGTCGATGCGGGCGCGCACGGCGAGGAAGGCGTTGGGGGGGACGACGGAGGGGAGGAGGTAGAAGGCAGCGGGCACAGGGAGGAGCTCGATGGAGTTGACGAGGGCGTGGCCCCACACGGGCAGGAAGCAGAGCGTGAGAGAGGCATCAGCGCTGTCGATGATGTACTCGGGCTCGTACACCGCCCCCACGTGCCCAGCCATGCTCACCGTCTCCATCTGCACGCCCTCCACCAGCACCGCAAACCGCGGCCACCGGCCCTTGTGTTTGTCCTTGGGAGTCCTGTTTGCGGGGTCGATGTCGCGAGAGCTGTGCACAGCCCCCCCTTGGCCCACGCGGTCGTCGTCCTGGGGCGAAGCAGAAATGGCACTGCCATGCCCATCAACCGCAACAGCATGCGGGGTGGAAGCACCAGGGCGAGCACTGGGATCGGTGGTGGGTTGGCGGGGCGCATAGGAATCCGTGGAGCGGTGACTGACGGCGTCTGGAGCATTGGAGGCGGAGAGGGAGGAGGTGGTGACGCCCTCGTCGCTGTGCATCTCCAGCGGAGGGCTCAAGTCCCGCTGCGCGCTCGGCAGCGTGTCGCTGTGGTAGGCGAAGGCGAGGCGCACGATGAAGCGGCCAGGGGAGAGCGGGATGTCATAGCAGCTGACGTCGTTGGCGCGGAAGACGCGCTGCGAGCGCAGCTCCGGAGTGAGGGCGAGCGGCATGGACGCCAGCACGGACGCCGGCTGGCCGCCCACGAAGAAAGCGTCCGCCTCCCACACCCGCCCGTCCCTCCCCACCACCCGCTCGCTGCTGCCACAGTTTATCCGCACCGCAGATGCTGAGCGAGGGGAACGGGGGGGGGAGGAAGGAAGGGGTGGTGGCGTGGAGGGGGGAAGGGGGGGAAGCGAAGAACACCAGATAAGCATGCGAACGAACATGGGGGAGCTGTGAAGGGCAGCAACGAATGCGCGGACAGGTCCACGCTTACCAGAGGGTGCAACGGGTACTGCTGAAACTGCGACTAGGCGATGTAGCAAGGCTAGAAGGAAAGCGGCGAGCGACAGGCGTGGCATGACGCCACGCCATCTCTCCATCCATCCGCTGCCACCCGCCCCGCGCCACGACTGCTGATGCTGCCTTACTCGCATCGAATTTAATTTGAGTATGACCGGGCCATGGCGCAATTCCGCCGTGCTGTGGCATGGCCGTGTGGCCATGTGGGCCTTCACACGTGCACACAGCCGACACGACGAGCAGGGGAGCGAGTGGTCGCGCGGACAGTGAGAGGGTGCCTGCATCCACGTGAAAACGACGACAGCGAGGCGCACTGAGAGTAAGGACACTAAGCAAGCACGGAAATGAGGGCGACAGAGCAAGCGGGAATGAGACAGTCACGATGTCGGTTGACTGCGCCACGATCCAATCATACACCCCGCGTCGCATCTTCATCGCGCTAGATTCCTATGCGCCCATCCCCGTATCCGCCTTTACCTCTCGCGACGTCTCGCATTGAACCGCACTCGCCAAGTTTGGTGGAACTGTTCGCGCCGTTAGTTGCGCCACTGGCAGCCTGAGAGGCACGAGGACGGGATTTTGAACGGGGGAAGCGAGGATGGGGATACCAAAACGAGGAGGCGGATTGCAAAACTGTATTCGGTATAGCCGAAGGTCACCGGAAAGGGAGAGAGCCCGGGATAGATACAAAAGTAGACAATCCTGTATCGCTGCGAGCTGCTCGCGAAGCCAATACTGATGACTGACACGCGACTCTTTGGGGCTCCCTGTTGGCTGCATTGCGTTGTCTCTACTGCGTGCAAATAGCAGGAGGTGGTTGTTTCTAAAAAGTTGCCGACAGTGTAGAACAAGAAAGGAGTAGAGTAAAAAGTAGCGGCTACCGAGCATTTTATGTGCGAAGAAGAGTCTGGAGTGCAAGGGGGAGCTAAAGGCGTTTGAAAAAAAAGGTAGAGGTCAGCGCACCTGCTGCAACGTGCAGATAAGTCGAAGTCAATACGGAGCTCATTCATGGTTACGCCTGCCGCAAACACTGCTCGTCACTACAAAAATTGGAGGTTAAGAGATTATTAGGGTTTGGAGTGAGAGCGCGAGGCGAGGGGCAAGTATGATTGTCGTGGGAAGTGAAACAAACCGCGCAGCAGTAGGTGCTGTAGGGATGTTTGATAGGCATAGGTGAAAGGTGAACTCTCTACCCTCCCAAATCCGCAAGGGCAATCCTCTTCGAGGTGTTTTACCCGCCATAGCCTGAAAAGAATGGCGGTTCTTGAATAACCTGGAAAATCCGACACTGAAACAATATATTTCGACCGGTCATATCCAGGTCGCGTTTTCGTACGCGGCTGCATCTGTGTTCTCTGCTATGGCCACTACAAATTCACAGCCCGATATTCTACATTTCTCTGTAGACCGGATTCTCTTCCGTGCAACGTGTTCGTGCTTGAAAGGTTGTGGTTCCATTCTGTAGGATACCCATGCCAATGTGTGCTTCAAAACCCGTCCTACCCTGAGAGTGCACGAGAAGCCTGGAGGGCCCACACCAACCTCTCGTCTGAATTTCCCGCCCTCCGAAATCGGGGTTTTGGTTAGGTGAAGTGAGGGGGAAACTTGTTTATCGTTTTCCGCTGGAAAGAACCTGGCATCTGTGTACACCTAAGTTTATTGGCCACCCAAGTTAACTGTAATGGGAAAACGTGCAGACTGCACATGTGTACACGAGAAAAAAAAAAACACGAGACGAGAGCGGGCAATAAGCTATCCTAATAACGATAATCGTATTGTTGTGTTGTGGTTCATGGTGATGTTGCGGGCAGATCGTGGAAGAGAGGATTGCCCTGGAACTGTTCGCCTGAACAGGTTCGTCCTCGATGACATGACTGGGAACATGCATTCTCGATAGTGGCTACCGAACTTCTGCAACGTTTCCATCTCCTAATTCCAGTTTTGCAAGGAACGACTATGCATTGACCTACCAAGATTGACATCAAAACAACGAGCAAGGATTGCATTGAAGGTGCAAAGAAATAGCATGAGCTAGCAGTACAAAGCAAAAACAAATACGTATGCACGAAAACGAGCTAGGATATGCAATGCGACAACAACCGCGGACGCGCAGCCACAGTCGTGCATACACTGCCGCAGCCGCACACACACACACACACACACACACACACACACACACACACACACACACACACACACACACACACACACACACACACACACACACACACACACACACACACACACACACACACACACACACACACACACACACACACACACACACACACACACACCCGCAGCTGCACAGCATCCGCGCATGCAGCAGCAGTCGTGCGCAGCTGTGCATCGCCGCCACAACGCGCGCATAGCCACCGCAGCGTGCGCACACGCTGCCGCCGCAACATCGCTACAGCAGCAAGCACATCGCACTAAAAACTGTGGCTTCCAGCAATTAGCTGGAAGCCTTCCCGGTGACTCCTGATTTCGGGGGTCTTGTCAGTCTGATTTCAATACCGGGGGGTAATTGCAGGGCAACAGAACCACCCTGCAGTCAGCATGCGCATTGCCGAAACCAACCTGCGAGGCGACTGCAGGGTGTAAGTTGCGCATCGCATGTCAATTGGAGCGACTAGTTCGAGTTTGTTACCATCGGAGCCGAAAACGAGACCATCGCACATGCGAGGTTTGAGCAGTTGCGTTGTTACCACGCATAACATTTCGGATTGCCCTGTATTTATTGAAAAGATATAAATCAAGCAGTATTCTAATTACATGAAAATATAGGCTATTAATTCAGATAAATACACTACCGGATAAAACCAAAAATAAAACACGGTAGATTGCGCATATTCGTGTAAAACATTACAGCACTCAGTTCAGCCACTGTATGGAGCGTTTTGTTGGCAATTTAATATATTAAAGCTGACAGTACATGGCAAAATCATATATGCCTACTGCCACATCACTACACTAACTAGGGAACACTAGCTTAGCACTCTGTAGCTAGTTCTATTCTCAAGGACTCCACCATATGTGCTGTAACGCATCTGCTTCCTTGCTGAAACTCCTGCACAATAAATTATCAGCTGTAGACACCAAAGAAAGAGTCAGGCAGAAAACGCGACAACCACAGCTACTTACCGTGTACGAAAGGACGGTAAAGCACTTGTCGTAGTAATTATGCCATGCTCCTTAAACCTGCAAAAAACAAATCGGAATACCATTGCTCATAAGCATAGGGGCAAGAACTCCCAACATTGACGAAACTCACCTGAAATGCTGAACCACGCATATTCGCTCCAGGGGTCTTTGTGAGAACATTATAGCTTACTTATTTGTGTAGGCTATAGTGGGGTATCCCATAGGGGGTACAACCCAATGAGGGTTTCCTATTTGTACTCACCTCGTTCATAGTTCATTCATTCTCTCGTTCACTTCTTCTCATGGTATCGAGCAGGTTCCCTTGTGGGAACTTTGCTCAGGGCCCACCACTTCGAAAAAATTTTCCTGCCCTAGCGCCCTAGCGCCCACCCTAGCGCCCGCCCTAGCGCCCGCCCTAGCGCCCGCCCTAGCGCCAGCCCTAGCGCCCTAGCGCCCGGCGCCCGCCCTAGCGCCCGTGAGCCGCCCGCGGCCTGCCAGTGAGCCGCCGCACGTGAGCCGCCGCCCGTGAGCTGCCGCCCGTGAGCACCGCCCGTGAGCGCCGCCCGTTAGCCACCGCCCGTGAGCGCCGCCCGTGAGCGCCGCTCGTGAGCCGCCGCTCGTCAGCCGCCGCCCGTGCGCCGCTCGTCAGCCGCCGCCCGTGAGCGCCGCCCGTCAGCCGTCGCCCGTAAGCAGCCGCCCGTCAGACGCCGCCCGTGCGCCGCCGCCGTCTGCGAAGCCGCCGCCCGTGAGCCACCGCCCGTGAGCCGCCCACCCGCGCGCCGCCCGACCGTGAGCCGGCGCCGCCCGTGAGCCGCCCGCCCGTGCGCCACCAGCCCGCCCATGAGCCGCTAGCGCCGCCCGTGCGCCGCCCGTCCGCGAGCCACCCGCCCGCCCGTGAGCCGCCCGCGCCGCCCGTGCACAGCCCGCGTGCCGCCCGCGAGCAGCCTGCGAGCCGCCCCAGCCGCCCGTGCAGCCGCCCGTGAGCCGCCCCAGCTGCCCGTGAGCCGCTCGCGCGCCGCCCGTGACCCGCCCCGGCCGCCCGTGCAGTCACCCGTGCGCCGCCCGCGAGACGCCTGCGCCGCCCGAGCCGCCCGAGCCGCCCGAGCCGCCCGAGCCGCCCGCGCCGCCCGAGCCGCCCGAGCCGCCCGAGCCGCCCGAGCCGCCCAAGCCGCACGAGCCGCCCGAACCGCCCGAGCCGCCCGAGCCGCCCGATCAACCTGAGGTGCCGAGCTCCTGCTCCTGTGGGGCTGCTGCTGCTCCTGGACCGGCGCAGCCGCTGTGCTGCCGTGTTACTGTACTACTGAGCTACCCGACTCTTCCTGCCCGGTGAGACTGTCAGCTGCTATAATGGCCACCCCCAGTGTCCTGGCTTTTGATGCTGAGGGTCGCGCCATTGACTTTGCAGTCTGGGTCGAGGACCTGCAGCTGTACTTACTGTGCGATGCGATAGATGAGGTTTCTCTCTTTGACTTTGTCTCTGGCGCTGTCCCTGCCCCTCCTGCTGATGCTGACCCCACTGTTCGCTCCAAGTGGGCCACACGCGATGCTGCAACACGTCTTGCTGTGCGTCGCCACCTCCCTTCCTCCGAGCGTGCGCACTTTAGTCAGTGCAAGACCGCTCAGGCCTTGTACGACGCTGTAGTTGCGCGCTACTCCTCCCCTTCCTCCGCTACGCTAAGCCGCCTCATGCTACCGTACCTCTTCCCTGACCTCGCTGCCTTTCTCACAGTCGCTGACCTCTTTACCCACCTCCGCGCTAGTGACACTCGCTACTGCGCTGCGCTTCCTCCTGACTTCCGCGCCGCAAATCCTCCTCCCATGTACATCACTCTCTACTTTCTAGTCACCCGTCTCCCTGAGTCCCTTCGTGCCGTTAGGGACCAGTTTCTCTCTGTCTGTCCCACCACCCTCACTATCGACCTCCTTGAGAAGTCCCTGCTAGCTCTGAGAAGAGTATAGTCGCTGTAGGGGCCTCTCATGGTGACCCTCG